CACATTTATTTTTATGCCACTTTAATATTCTCCCTCTACCAGAAGTGAAATTATGTACTGGTAGGTGCGATCCATTAGATTTTTGAGGGTGTGGGGGTGGAAAAGKGAAAGATGTAGATAACTTTATTAGCAATCTAAAAAACGACGTCGATTCATATTATAACGTTCTATTTCGAGCACCTATGGCTTCTTGTCACACTTAGCCTGACGCTCGACTCCAGCTCAATTAAGGTTTCGATGCACTAAATGAGCGGGAGTTTTAAAATGTACAAAACAAATCTCAAAAATACTATCTAAGTGAAGAAAAAACCTTTTACAACTTTATTAGCGTGACGCTCGACTCCCGCTCAATTAAGGTCTTCGATCGCACTAAATGAGCGGGACTTTCATCAACAAAATTTATGTTTTATATATTCATGTCGRCTTCTTTACACGAAATGTCCAAGCAATACTATGCCGATTCTGAAGTTAGTCATGGGTCGACATGTTCTTAACTCAGTTCTCAGAGAATCTGTTATCTCAGGCCTTGTCTAAAAGAGAACGGAATTGTCAAATGACGTCACTGCATTAAATCTATGGGCCCACCATATATCATTTTCACAATCTTGCCATGCCGAGTTTTGAAGCGATTATTATCCATAATCGATAAAATACCACTAAAAATCCCCATTGAGCTGATGGTCGTGATTAAGTGCTGATTCATGAAGGTCAAAATCAGCCGCCACATACTGAGCAAACTGCAGAGAAACTTGCGACGCAGTAATAATATAAAACGACTTGATATATATTAATCAGAGAAAAGTGTTGATCGATCTTATTAACGCAAAAAGGCATTTCTTATTGCTGAATATATGGGAAGACATATTGTTTTCATAGACTAATATAAGTCCATTAATTCAGTACATCTCGTCAATCCCTATAGGATGCCAGCTCTAATTTCTGATAACTAATCGAGCGTTTTCCGGCGACACTCGAAAAGCAATTTTGATGGGTTTTTTTTACTTCCCGCCCTTTCAATCAACATTGAATAGATGGGGCAAGGATGTTTTAAAAAGAAACATTCCTTTATGTGGTAGATTTGCTGCAACTATACCAGAATTCTGTGCATATTTCTTATTCGGATTCTAATCTCCTCGTCCTACTTGTAAATAGTAAAACAATTGGGCATGAAAAGGCACAATGCACATTTATGCACAATGCCTGGCACAGCAACTATCAACAGGGAAAATCAAACGACAGGAAATCTATGCTTTTTTAATTTCAAAAATGCACGTCTCTACGTATTTTAGTCTACACACCTACACACCCCACGCTACCTACTCCTCTATAAATTATAACATTTGCTGTACTCTCAGTACATATTCCAATATTTTTTTTTCTACCTGGCCCACTTGMATCCAAAAGCCTTTGCGATCATTTGTTTTGAACAAGATCTATTGTTAAATATTTCTTTCTTATTGGTTAAAATCCTCCGTAAAAATGCAGCGGAATAGCACAAGATGGAAATGGATTAAACCTGATGATCCATGTTCTTCTTTGGACGATTGCTGGATCAGCCCCTGTTGTGTATAACAAATTACTGTTTTTGMGCCAATTTTGGTTTTTAACCTTGAAAAAAATCGTTTCTATAATTCTTTTCCTATTCACAATTTCGAATACGTAGCCCCGTTRAAAAAGGTATTTTGACAACTTTTATGTCCCGTCATGAGACCAGTCATACTATTAATTGGCAATGTTGAGCGACGCCATTTTGTAAAATAAAGTATAATGGGAATTTTAGTCATTGAACATTTCACTTGGCCCTAAAAAATCTCTCTAAAAGCCATATACATATATTTTTTTCTTCTGGAAAGGTCGCAAAAACTTCTATTTCTGAAGAGTAAAAGCAAAAATGTCTGATGAGGACTTTTTAATAGGTCCTATTAATGAAAAAAATTTACGAGGTCTATAACTCCCACCATGCTTTGTTGAAGAAAAAGGCGTGGCTGCACAGTCCAATAATGACTACTTTCATATAAGATAATTGGCTAATTGTGATCACGTGACTCTAACTAATTGTCATCACGTGACTCTAAGAAACATATCAAAGTGATGATCTGGAAAGGTCCAAAGGTCAAGTCAGTACCACTAGAGGACCACGTGATTGATGTGTTATCATCAGGTACTTCCAATAGATTACACCTGAAATTAAACAGATACATATATCAATACATGCTTCCCTACCTCTAGTGGGTGGGGGGTAGTGTTGAGGGGGGGGGGGGGGGGGAGGAGGGATTGGCGGGATGGGCTAGCAGTGAAAGTTACATTAATAACACTAATCAAAATTTATATATTATCTAATTTACACTTGCCCAATGAAGATGCAAATCATCATGCATTAGTCAGAGGTGTCGGAATCGCRAAAATTAAGCAAAAATTTCTTGAATAAACATGTTTACAATCACGTCGAAGCAAAGATAAAAATGAAATCAAAAAACATATACTCTACATTTAGAAAATTAAGAGTAAATTAGTTGCCATTTGCAGTATGGTAATCCCGGCAATACTGTTGGTTTTACAGGGTTAAAAACCTTAAAAAACTGTCCACAAACACTATAACGAATCAAAATTACTTTTCTTCAATTATTTTAAAAATATACTTTGTTCAGCGAGTTTGAAAACAGATACTTGCTTTAATATAAATAATGAATTACTTACAATAAGTACGACTTAAGCGAACTAAAATATCACTTCCACTTTTCTTGACATTTTGATAAAATATMATTCACCAACATCACAGTCGCCGCCGTCACGTTTGATTATTGAATGTAACACAAATACTGACTTGAAAAAGATTCGCATGGAAAACAAACCCATACATTAAGGAAAATCACCTAAATTGACTGTTTGGGCTACTGGCAAGAAGGTTTTATAGAATATTTACAATTATTTGACAGGTTTTATGAGTAGCCGTTTGTCTCCAGTAAAGACACTTAATTCATGAAAAAAACATGGCGGCCAATCTGTAAAAAAAAAAAAAACAGAAAAAAAACCATGGCGGCTGTACAAACGTATGGCAAAATATCAAAGCCCGAATTAGCTCAGGTTTTTTTGGTTTCCCAGAAAGTGACAATATGTTTATAGAGATGTTTTTTTAAGGAGTATATTCGTCATATGTGAAGCAAGGCGAAACTTGTTCTGCACATTTACTGATTATTGAGTTACTAGTAAAATTGTCTGATCTCATGACATAAAGAACCCCGCAGTGCAAGTATAGGAACCACTCCAGGTTGCAAAACAGTAACATTTACATCAGAGAAAATCGTGAATGATCAACATTTRCATTCATAGCTTTCATTTCATTTTTCTCACTGCGGAATAAAGTCAAAACTGGATGGCTAAGAAATAATTTTTTCGTGAATTTCTCTTGTTATCGATTATATTTGTATTTTGTCAATAGCTTTCCTGTTATCAGAAATAAAAAAATTAGCACATCAGTTAGTTTGGAAGAAAAAACAATTAAAGACGCGTCGGATTTCTTTGATTGATTTAAACGAGAGAAAACTATCTGCTCGACTTGCCTYTGAAGATAATACAAAAACTCTCACCACCTAACATTAAGTACAAACGTCGACGCAGTTTAGAGTCATTATCGAAAAAAATCGTTTTTAAATGCTGCAAATGGATGCCCATATTTCATTGATTGATTTTGAAGTAGTTTACTGCGATAGAGCGTTGCATGGGCTATGGACAAAATGTGGTTTTCTTTTAAAGGTCGACAGGTGTTGATTTAGTATCGACACGACATACTCTAATTAAATCCATTGCAAAACTAAATCTAAGTCACTCCAACAAAATATAAAAAAAAACACTTAAAATAGAGTAAATTATTTCTAGTGCTACTTTATTAAGGACAAACTGCAAGAAAATATTGGCATTCGATTTTGGCTTTTACTGCAGGAAGCCATTTTGATAAAGCCATCACAAAACCACAACTACCGCACTTCACACACAGAAGCCACAAATCTTGAAAGGATTAATGAATACTTGACAAGTGAATTTACTTCATGTCTAACGTTGAAGTAGACGTTTAACGTGAGTGGATAACAATTGTGCTTGCATCCCGTCGACCACTGGTTCTACCCCAAGAGGCTTTTATTACGTTGAGCTCCCGGAGCGTCCATCTAATTACGTTCACCGTTTAAAACATAAGATGTTTAATTAGTGGATTCTCTTTGGGTGATTTGGAACTACGTTTCGATAAGTTAATATGCGGTATATCCGAAAAATTACTCAAACTCTGGTCGTGGAATTGCAAAAGTGGTAAATACTGCATCTGTCACGAACTGCATCTAGTGAAGACTTCMTCGCGGTTGCTGCAGATAGTGACTTAGCGCTGACTAATTTCAATTGGTTTTGATAAGATCCGCTTAAAAGGATTTACACTCTATTGAGTGAGAAACCAAATCGCCTACAAATAACGCCCAACATTCAACCTCGTTAACAGCACCTCAAAACAAACACAAAGCCTTGAGTGGCTTTGTTACAAAGACCTATCAACCTATGGTATTGTTCAAAACTGCATAAACTTGACCTTCTATCTATTTGAAGCCATCTCGACGTGGTGTGCTAGATTGTCGTGCTATCTTCAGGATAACGTATCTACCTGCATAGTACACTAAACGTCATAGTAAAACAACAACTACATCGTAGGCAGCGTCGAAAGTCTCTCTGCAGTCGATTGGAAAATGTCGTACGTTGTATATCAAAACGTTAGCAATGTATCGATGTTGGCAAATATCTCGAATGGTTTGGGAAAAGGTCCGATAGGACCAAATCCCTTCGACTTGTTGACAACCTCGTTGTTTACAACAATATTTGTAACTGGGGTAATGGGCAGTTCTTTTGTGATTTCCACAGTTTTGAGGTGGGACGACATGAAAACATCATGCAATTACCTCATCATGACCATCGCCATGGCAGACATGGGAGTTGCAGTGCTTGCAGCACCAATTCGAATCATTGATACCTACATTGGTTGGCCGTTTGGTCAGACCGTGTGTCGTCTTCTTGTCCCTTTGCAAGACATGTTTGTGTGCGTATCAGTCGTTTCTCATACATGCATTGCATTGGAAAGATATCGAGCAATAGTGACCCCCTTCAAGCAAAGAATCTCGCTGAGAAAAGTCAAATATCTCATTGCGAGTCTGTGGTTGGGATGTTACCTCGCGTCGGCTTTACCTATTGCTCCCATCCTGATAACTGCACAGCGCGGKAACAAAACAGTGTGCAAAGTCCARTGGCCCTCGGTGATCTACAAACGGGCATTTAAGATGTTCTTGGTGAGTGTCTTCATTGTAATTCCTCTCATCCTACAAACCTATTCGTACTGCTGGATTGTGCGCTGCATTCGGAAGAAAACACTGATCTCCGAATCTCGATCAGGACMGCAACAGAAGCGAAACCGATTGATCAAGATGCTGTTGACGAGCGTACTAGTATTTGATGTATGCTATCTCCCACGCGGCGTCCTAATGGTTCTCTACGAGTACGGCAATCGTGCAGCCTTCCCGCCACAAATGAAATACATTAACCTCATAGCCCTGGTTATGTACTATGTCAAACATGTTATCAACCCGGCCATTTTGTTCGCTATGAGCGCAGATTTTCGCGCCGGTTTTTACGCTTTCTGTAAACGGGGACAATTTGAGCTCAGCCAAGACAAGTCGTCTAAGCGCAATTCCTCTAAAAAACAAAAAGTGGCTATGCAAATCCTCAACAACCGAAAAAAGTCGGCGGACGAGCAACAAAATCAATCGCAAACAGTAGCTGCGTTGCTCGAAAACTCTCCTAAACTGGCCGAGAATCACTGGGATCAGGTGTGAAATAGTAAAACCACAAGAAAATCAAAATCGAGTTTTGGATAGTCTGTRATTCCTTCGTTATTCCCATTCAAACTTAGAGWGCGAAACAAACCACACCACAACACTTTAATGGATCAAATAAAGTATTCAACGAGTTTTGAAGAATCAAATTTCAACTGTTCTCCACCTGAAGAGATAAACTCGSACCATTTGTGATAYTAACTTTTCATCATTCAAAAGTGTGTAACGTTTAAGTGCTCAATGGGGGAATTCCCGCGCACCAGAGAATCAGTTATTCAAAAACAAGAAACGTTCGGTCCAGCAGGTGTTTTTTCTTTGTGATTCAGCATAATTTACAATTAAAACCGCATCCTGTTCTTAAACATAGAGGTCTATAAATTGCCTGCTTGGTTTACAACGTTGTGCCTCGATGTCAACAAAGGCAGAGCGAAGTCTTTTGGAAATCACACGCACATCTCGCTCGTTGTTTGCGCGAAATTTTGATTTCTAAAACCAAAACGAGCTAAATACGACGATTTTATGGAATAATTACAAACATAATTGAACAAAACTATCACCAACGACCTAATTATTCCTGTCAAAGCTGAATTCTTGTGTGATAATTGGAAAATATTTGATATTGCTGACTGCTAGAGGGAGCCTGGTATTTTTGTTGCTACTCACGAGCCGGAGTATTCCCTTATGGGAGAAAGTCGTGAGGATTCACAGCGAAGATTCTAAAAAAACGGAGTTACACAGTCAATAAAAATTATTCCCAATGGTTACCTGGCCTAATGAGGCCTTTTGTTTTTTTTGTCGAAGTGCATCATGGTACTGATGAAAGTATCAACATGGCGGATAAAAACTACGAAGAACGAAGTTTCTTGACGAAATTTACGCTATTGAAGGTCGAGAAGAGCATTAAAAAACAAAATGAGATGCCTAAGGTGTGCTGAAAAACATAAAGGTAATGCTGTTTGTTCGAAAAAAAAGCCTGAAATACCAGAAACACAAACCGCAAAAACAACAGTGAACATTGTTCAGTTTGTACTTTTGTCAATATCGGCGCGTCTCGCCAATGTCATTACAGGTAAAGACCACCAGCAAGCATTACCATCAAATATCTTTCACTTTGAGCTTCCTCCATATTTATACGATGTTCGATGATAGTTTTTCTCATTTTAGCCCAGCTTTATGATAGTTAATACAGATATTCGTTTGCGTCTTTCAATAAAACTGCACTGAAAATCAGTCTTTTTTAATCAATAAATTGCCAATGGTTTACAGATGCGGTAAAAAGGTCTCCAATATACTAGAGTTAAAAAAGAATTGTATAATCGCCATTCACAATCACATTCATGTTATCCTAAAAATTGTAATCAGATAAGCAAATCAATTATAATCTATTATCAAGTACAACTACAAAATTTCACATTTTCAATTTTTAATAGATAAGCGTAAGCAAAACAAAAGCTATTTCGCCATATGTATACTAGCTCGCTACACTTGTTATTAATAAAGATAATATTATTAACAATCGAAAAGTGACCAATGTGCAATTTATTTAATGAACGCTTGAAAAAATAGCCAAAGGCCCTCGACAATACACTTATTGCGTACTTACGCAAATTGCACAATCATTAATAACAAAACGAGGGAGCTTAATGGTCATCAAATATCGAGATATATTGTATCAGCTATACAAACATACTTCCCTTTCAATGAATAGTTAATGTAGAAGTAAACATGACACTGACAGCTGAAAATATTCTAAGGATACACCCCCGCATTGAATTGTCTCTATCGTATCACTTMTATGTTTATCTAAACGCCCTTGTAGTGCAGAGAACAATACAAACTCCGCTCTGAGAAAAAGCCTCTTTATACCTCTATTGTTAAACATTTTTGCCTTAGATTGGTCCAAGCCTTTCATAATATGATACGGTGTRAACGGGTTGGAAAGTAAAATTTKATATGAAAATCCAAGAGTTGGGAAAGTGGCATGAGTTTTTACTGAACATGCCCAAATTGGGCGAGAAGCGCATTATAAAGAGGCTTGTGTAAGATTTCAGCTATATTTGTGAACTTCAAACTCTCTTGCTCGATTCTAATTAGCTGAATCTGTAGCCATGTCGTAGGAAGGAGGTGGTATATCAGGCTCTTCTTGCAGCAACAGTGGAACATACGGCACTTTTTCTTGATTAGTTGCAGGCGAGTCTGGATCCTGATTAATTTGGGCGTGCGTTGTTACCTCATTGGTTGGACAGTACGATCCTTCCTGATTGGCCGAAGTGTATGGTTCTTCCTGATTGGTTAATAGGTTTGTGTCTTGATGAGAAGGGTTGCCATTAGAGCACGTCCGCGTGGCATCACCGGGTAATTCTCCAGTCATGGAAAACGAAGGTTTTTCCTTTGATTCGGTTAATGGTGGATTATCATCAGGATCTTGGAAGTCGGAAGACAATGGCTTAACAGACATGTACATCTTTTTCTTGATATCATAGCRACATTGCGCTGTTTTTGCTCTGAACAACCAGCGATATGGCCAAGTTAGGCAACAGCATGTCGCATACCAAAAATACCTGCCACTAATCCATCCATCTGTTTGCGAAGGATCGATGTAGGCAAGAATTCGGTGGTCTAAACCTGGGATATCATAACTAACACGAAAACTAAAATCTTTATCAAAGTGATAAAAAGCATTATAATATTCCGATCTTTGCCGTTCAAATTCCTCTTCAGTCTCGGCGTCACCAAAGTCAATAAAAGCATCAATCTTCAGTCGGGTCAAAACWGAGTGACTAATCCACGGCATTTCGGGTGAAGACACGTCCTCAAAACTACCATACCGAAACTCGCGTGTCCCGCTRTACGTAACGATCTTTGTTAACTTAGTACCTTTGCCGTTACCCCTCGGCCTGTCTTCTAAATGAGAACACTCAACAGACATGGTAATCTCGGGAGCTTTGTTACGCAACCGTTTAATGTAGCTTATAATTTCCTCCTTTTGCATTGGGTGATCAAGGTGTTCATACTCATTAGAAAAGAAACTTTCAATGAGAACAAACAGGGCTGAAAACACRATCACAACAATAGCCATGATGTGAAGATTCTTGAAGACGACGCCGTACTTGGACCAGTTCAACACATTATAACAAATTAAGTAAACGAACCACAAAAAGAATGAGAAGTAGAAATKGAGAGAAACAAKTCTGCARCAGGAATCCCCCCACTCGTGTCGTTTAATGAGACTYTCTCCCCATTTTTTTCTTTGACGCTTTTCGGCTTGTTGGAGTTTGTCCATGAAACATGCTTTAAACCCTCGACAACAAAAACAATAGACGAAAGGTAATAGAAGTTGYAGTAGTACWGCACATGTTATTACAACTGGAGTGAGACCTTCAAATGGACGTGACGTCGGCACTGTTGGTACAGTGGAATTACTTGTTGAATTGTGACTTTCACTGACTTGAATTGTACTTAAACTTCGCGAGAGCGATTCAGAAATCCAAGTCAAAACGAYYACTAAMCAAATCAACGYCTTGTTMATCGCCATTTTACGAAATGATAACAASGTTTCGTAATCSWARTGATGTGACCCAGCACATTATGTTTCTTGTCACGCAAGACATCGTCRTCACGCAACACAACCGGAAAAACGAGATAAAGCGAAAACAAAACTTCCGAACTGACTTGTTTCATCAAAACAGAGTACTTCAAAAGGAATAATATTGTTAACAATTTTATAAACAAGCCCYTCAGCATCATTAACATGATTTTCAACATTACAGAATAGGTGCCGTCGACCTCAACATTGCCTGGCCCTTTTTGGTCACGGTATTGAATGTTCTTTGTCTCWTTCAAAGCAGAAAATCCTCACTAATATAATTAAATTCAAAACTGATCAATTTTTGTCATTTCAAAACAGCTCAATATTTCCAGTCTGGGATTATATTCTGATTTACTTTGTTTTCTAAWGGTTTAACGTTTATCTAATATTACACTTTGCATACCTTTGGACGCGGGTTATGTTAAGTGCCGACGTCAGACGCGCCTTTGTTTTTCCACCAAAAGACTCGTAGAGCCGAACAACAATTGCTGATGGTATGTCTTCAGCCTGTCAATATCATTTTGAAAAAAAAAATGATTGTTTGGCTTAGTTTACACAAATTCGAATAATTTTTTAGCGTCGTTTTATTTTAAACGGTCGTTGTTTTCAGTTGTTTCATCTAAATAATAGTCTCCTTCACGGTTCCCTGCGCCATCTTGAAAGGCAGACGTGCCTTTACATCAAAGCGAGACGACCGTGCAGTGATAGATACCGGTGAATAGTTGTCTTTTGGTGTTAAAGAAGGTTTCTACAACTAAGTGCTGAATGGTTGTCACGATGCAAAGACACGGCTGCATTTCAAGATGGCGCAGGGAACAGTGAAGGAAACTATTAGGCTGGAACGATGACGGAAAAAAAGGAACCAATAATTAAAAAGAACTGATAAAATAAAGAATAAATGACAAACTATGAAGTTATTTAGAAAATTTATGTGTTATGTACCTTTTTGACAGTATCAAGTACGACTGCAGGATTGTCTACTTGAAAAAACGACTTGGATTTGAACCCTGGAAGTGAATTGGAAATAACGTCAAAAACGACTTGATGACGTCATGTCAGTAATTGGTGTATTTCTCCAATTAAGTAATTACCATTGCCAACATTTTGGTAGCAAATATGAAGAGGATCATTGAAGCAGTAAGCTTGACGGACGAGGCCAGCCTCTTGGAAAGTACCTATAATGAACGCAAAGCTCGGTTTACTAATATTTTTGTAAAATAAAGTGGATAAATGAAAATGAAAACAGATGGATAGCTGCATGGAATATATAGAAGAATGAATGGGAAATCGGATAAGTGAAAATGAAAACTGACAAAGAGRGGGTGCTCACCAATTAAATCTAACAGCTAGGTGCGTACCTGCTTCTTAGATAACTACGACTACCTATCTGGAYTTCGAATTTGKCTTYCTCATTTTCTAATTATCTGAGCCTAAACCACACTAAAACAGTTAAGACTATTTGAGAACGTTTCGTCCTATCTTATTACWAACAAGTCTTCTTACCCGAATGAGGAAACATACAGTACGAGAACTCGTGGATACCCATGTCAGCTTCCTCGTCAGGTGCCTTGGGAGAACGAAGCCTATGTCAAAAAGCWTACACTTTATACTGTCTTATTAATGTTAGTTTTTACTTTCTTAATACGACGTTGTTATGTCTTGTTCATACTCACAATGAAATCATCATTGTGTTGCCGTGAGTAGAGTAGCCATATTTACAGTCTGTCATGAGWGAGACGCCCCAGTTATGTTCTGATAAATCAACCCATCTTTGACCGCAAACCTTAAAATTATAACATTGAAACGTTGACTAAATCAATTTTATACAATTTAGTGCTTTTRGAGATGTTTCAGTGCTTTGTTTAACACCGACACGAACTATACTAACTCAATTRTAGAAAGTCATCCATAGCAGGTAAACAACGTTCAGATTCATTTGCTTCGTTCTTGAGCAAGGATACCGCTTTCTTAGCGTACTAAATCCACAACAGATGATATCTTAAAGATATGAATATGAAGATGATATCTTACACGTTTTACCTCGTATTTGGCCCAATCCCATGTCGTATTGCAATGAGTGGGTCTTTGTAAATGACCAAACTGAATTTCATATGTTGCATTCATCGCATGGACATCAACAGGGAATTCCACTTTAAGAAACTTCCTGTTCTCATTCCAGTTTACCTGTGATGACAGACGCTTACAGTAAGGAAGTGCCAATATAGAAGTGCCCATCACACAGAACAGACGTTTCTTAAAGGTCCACATGCATCCGACAGCTTTTGCGATCATTTTTTTGCTTGTTTGTTTGTTTTACGAATGACATCGTGTTGAAATTTGCTTTCTGATTGGCTCAAAGATGACAAATTTCCGTATGTGAGAAAATCGCGCAAAGGATTTCGGATGAACGTGGACCTTTAAAAAATGCAGGCAGATTAAGACAACGATTTTTACCTTAGTATCAAACCTAACGTAAGGGTGACATGCATCAACCACGATAACTTGCGTCAAGGAACTTGAAGGACCAATTGTCAAAGAAAACTACAGGAACAAATATCCCTCATTAACACATTAACTATCGATATCAAAGATTATGGAGGAACTTTTAAACAGAGGTTTCAGATTTAGTAACTGACTCATCGAATGAAAAGGCTTTATACCAAGGAATGTATGTCTACCTCTAGAGTGACTCGCAATGGACCTTTCTCCGTGATTCTCAGCTGACCGTTTGGGTTTGTAGGTTCCACAATTGGTTTTCTATAAATGCAGGACACACATGGTAAGGTTGRTTACAYTTTAATTACTTTTTAAAGTCATAAAAATCGCTTATCTACTGTCTATAGTATCTATTATATTGAGATCTAAGAATAACGTAGCAAAAAATAGCCAAAACGCCTATGCCTCGTTAGGTTTCTCTCTTCTTTTTATATAATTTTTTCACAACTACATTTTACATTGTA